GTGGAAAATACGGTAACTGTGACTCAAAGGGGTATCGTTTTATCCAGAAGCCATAAATAAAAGCGGTATTCGTGTGACGTGCGCGGGCGTTGGGAGGTCTGGAGTTGGGTTATGGTTGTCTCAGTCGGTTCGGGGAACAATTGGGGACGAGTTCCTTTGGTGTTTGAGGGAGACCAAAGGCTGGAGGGAGTGGGTTACGTGCCAGTTTCTAACTTCTCAATTTCTCTTCTTCCTTTGTCATACTTGATGTCAGGGGGCTGGTGGGGTCGGAGGCTGGGTGATTGATATTGCTGAGAGGGTTACGTTTTAGGGGGAGGAGATTTGCTGGGGAAGGTAAGGGATCATTTTTTGGAGGATTACAGGATTTTGCTTCCGCGTGGAAGCATTGTTTTCGGCAAATCCGAAATTTTCAATTTTTTTGGTCAGGAGTTCGAATTGTTAAGTGTTCGGAAACTTAAATGAGTTAACTTGAGGATGTTTAACCTATCAAGTGAACAACTCAGGTAAAAAGAAAAGTAAAATTGACTAAATAAATCATTCATGTTACAAATTATTTTATACCATACGTGCGTGACATCCGGCCGGTTTCAGTTGAGTGTCGACGCACAGAAAGTGCCGGGTTTCACACTGTAGTGTGGAACCCTACACATCTGTGTATAATCCCGTGCGTAACCCATGGGCATGCGCAAATGCACGGGTCGATGCGCAGATCGATGCGCAAATGGTCGTTGCAATATCATCGTTGGATTCCACACATCCATTGCGCATCGACTCGCACATCGACTCATAACATCGCCCACTGCCTCACTTGTTGGTATCCATATAACGCTCTCAATATTCTGTCGTTAAATTTATTCATTTATTCAATATAAAAGCAGTGAAATTAAATGGACAACCACATCATACCCGACAGTGACGAGGAGACTGATCTCTCGGGAGATTTATTTGATGAAGATTCGACAATCCTTATTTTTTTTTATATTTGTAACCAAAGTTTAAAGTACAAAAAGTATAAAGTTTAAAGTATATTTGTAACCAAAGTTTAAAGTATTTTTCATTTTTTTATTTATTCATTTTTAAAAATTTTCTCACTCAATTAAAATGAGAAATTTGATTTTAAACAATTTCCAAGTCTGAACTTTTTTTTTATTTTTGATCTTGATTTTGATTTTTTTTGTTTTTCAGTGCCAGTGGACCCTACCGGGGGGCTTCGCCCCCCTGGACCCCCTTCTGCCTCCCCCGACCCCTTTTCGCCGCACACGCACTTATGGTATAAAATAGTATACGCAACTCGTGCGGGCAGCAAGCGGCTACGCACTCGGGCGGCTGCGCACTTGTTGCGTAATATACTATTTCTCGTCAGATTAGAAGGGTTATGGCGTACTTTTCTGATCTCAAAAACAATAATTAAAGAAAATGTTCATAAATAATGGAGAAATTGTGACTGCAGTGGTAACAGTCGAATTTTGATCCGGCAACATCGGACGCTTCGGGTATTAGTGGGGTTGTAACAGTGAGATGAATATTTGTGTGTGTTATACGTCTCCATATGCTTCCAGCACTGAATTACCGTTACCGACTTTACCGACCTCGATCAGCTGTTGTGTGGTGTTGCCGCGTTGCTCGACTCGTAATGGTGGTGAAATTTTTTTTAGAGAAATTCGAAAATCAATCGAAGATATCACGCCTATTAGACCTGGTCCCCTACTTATTCTCGCCGGCGATAAATTCTCCATAGTCTAAAGTAAATGGCTTGTGGTTTTTTTTCAATATCTTGAGTGTCTAACCCATACAACACCTCGATCAAAGTTCACACGGTCACGTTTCTTCCCTAAGCATAATGTTACAAGAAGTGATTTTCAGAAATTAATTCACTAGGATGCCCCGATGGAAAGATTAAAATTATCACAAACTTGTGGCTCAAATATGAAACTGGAATATGAGACAATATCGAAATTATGGAGAATAATGTGGGTTTAGGCTAAACATCCTTAAAAAGTTGAACAGAAATTTCTTCCGAATCGTAGTAATGCACAATAACGTCAAACGACATAATTTTTACGTAGGTTCTATGAACTTTTCTCAGAACTTTTTTCCGTGTGGGAAGTTCACGTTAAAATATTTTCAAATACGAAACTTTTCCATCTTTACAGTATTAATTTCACTTCAGTCTGCAGGTAAACATCATTACAACGGATATTGACATGTACTTCGACAATGCCCTTCGCATGATCTGTCATCCTCAGGCTGCGAATCCATGCCATTACAACAGATTCTGACATGTCCTCTAATTCGTCCATCAATCATGTCCTTCACATCTGATCACAACTGTCGAAATGGGGCATATTTCAGCAATGTCAATTGCACTCCTAGGATTGATTTCACCATTTTCATCTAATATCATTGAAAATAGAGCAGTTCGTGAATTGATTCAACCGCTGTACTTCTCAACAATTTTGTTGGAAAATTGAGAAACGAAAGCCACCAATTTAATTTTAATCTTTGAAATTTCGGGTTCAGACCGCATTATTTTCTGCTCTCTCATCGTGAATTTCTTTCCCTCAAGGAGGAAATATAATTGAAGTTTCAAAGCTTCATAATCCTGTGAGATTCCTGCCAACTTAATTGCGAAAATTCCATCCACATCGCGCGGAACGGAAAAAAATACGTATGAAGCATGTATGAGATAGTTGATCTCATATGAATGAGGAGATTGAAGGGGTTTCACGAAAGGCTTTATATTAAATACTAGTTTACCCGACTTTCTGCATGGAGAAAACGGAGAAAAATTACCTAATAAATCAAATAATCCCGAAGCGGAATTCATTTCTGGGTCGCTTTCACGTGATTCAAAGTGAAGACATGACTCAATTGGCGTTTTTATTGCACTCGAAATAAAAAATCCATCATATGAGACGATGAATATTAACAAACACTCGGTTTTGGTAATGATAACAGAAGTGCGTTTCACTTCCTCGTCCGTCCCAAACACAGCCATATTAAGAAAAAAAAATTCTAATATCTGAAACATATTTTCTTGAGACAAGTAATTTTTATTCAATTGTTCAATTCTCGCAAGCATCCCAAGTCATGAGGTCTAAGAAAGGTCTCATGCTTTACAATATTCGTGTACTCAAGTATGATTTTGTCGCAAATGAACTCACTCAAATCGCGTTGAAGAATTGTCATTTTTCAAGTATTTATCATTTTCATGATGTTTTTGTTATGCAGTTCCAATATTTCGATATGTAATATATTCATGATATAATACGGAAAGATAATGGTAAATAGTATATTATTTCATGAGGGCGATCAGCGGCGGTTTGTGAGGAGTGTGAAGTTTGCAGCACGAGGCGTGGTAAGTCGGAGACAAGGTTCGCCGAAGGCGAGTTGGATATTAATTATTTATTTAAAGTGACAAAATAAATCATCATTTCCACTATATTGCATTCAGATTTTCCTATCCGTAAGGTCAAAAATGTGAGATAATCTCATGATTCTAGCTGTTAATTTTAAACAACTTTATTCGAAGAAAACCTTAGTAAATGCGATATTACATTGAAAAAAAAATTTCTAATATCTGAAACATATTTTCTTGAGAGAAGTAAATTAGTTTCAATGACTTAAATCTCAGAATGTGTGCACTTCACGGAACTCGAATAAATTTTCATTCATCACTATCGTTTCGCGTTACGTCATGAATATTTTACATATTGCAATATTGGAAGTGCATAACGAAAAAATCATAAAAACAATAAAGACTAGAAGATTGACGATTCTTCTACGCGATTTAAATAAGTTCATGTACGACAAAATCATAGTTGAGTACAAGAATATTTTAAAGCATGAGGCCTCTCTCGGGTCATGTGAGTTGAGTTGCCTGAGAGAATTAAGCAATTGAAGAAAATTTACTTGTCTCAAGAAAATATGTTTCAGATATTAGAAAAATTTTTTCTCAGTGTAAGAAAGAAGAATTATTCTATTTTCCGTTGACCTAAATTATTCAAACAATTATGATTTCTGTATTCATGTTTCATAGAATGTACTGAATGTATTGAATGTATTGAATTCTTCTGTTTGTTAGGCAATCAAAACTTGGCACAATCGACTTGCGTGGAATTTCCATGAAGCCCGCCTTACTTTTTCCATTCGTTCGAGATATCCGTCACGTTCGAGTTCTCATTTTAGATTCGAGATATTGTCCATACTTTTTTTTTTTAGAAAGGACACCCTCGACAACGACGAGGTTATGTTTCTCGGTCCAGTTTCCCGAAAGACGAACGAGATACGTTTGAATAAAAGCCATTCGGTGGCTCCTGCGGACTTGTGTTTGTGATTTTACGATGTCGTAACCCCGTCATCGGATGTGTTTGTTAACAAAAATCATTCCTTGTGAATAATTTTGCATCTTGACTATATATTCGATAATAAACACATCGAGCGGCGGGATTACGACATCAAGAAATCACAAATACACGTCCACCGAATGGGTTTCATTCTAACGCACCTCATAGGTTTGCAGAAAAACCGAACAAAGAATACAATCCTGCAGTCGTAGACGAGAACTTGACGTATCACAAACACAATTTCCTCACCGTAAACGAACCGCATGTCTGTATTTGCGAACAAAACTGCCATCTC